AATTTATCACTCAGCAATCCTTTCACTACTCATCATTGGGATCTGTACTCACTCGTTAACAGTGGTGGGCAGTCAGGGCCAGCAATGCCTTCTCTGCTGGCCTAAACATACTCAGAAGCGTAAATGTATTTTTTTTTCCTTTGGTAATTATTTAAAAAAAAAATGTTTACTGGTCTATTTTCTTTATAACCTATTATAACCACTTGGCTGCACTGCTTCCAGTGTTAAAATACCAAGGCTGGGTGTTATCCAATCAGATTTAAGCTAGCTTGTGTTTTCAGGCAGATTAAGTCTGCTCTAGGCCTTCAGAATCAGTCGAGAAGCCCACTGTCCGCTGTAAGTGAACGGAGACGGGCCAGTTGCGACAGCCAATCAGCTCACGAGTCAGCTTGGCCCGGGCCAGCTAGCTGGCCTCACGCAAAAGTTGACATGAACGCATCCTGTGATTGGATAAGCAGTAGTTAGAACTTTTCTAGCGGCATGAAGCAAAATATCAAAACTAAACACAGAGATTTGTATCTATAGGCAGCTATCGGTGTATTTTTGAACACATGATGGCTGAAAGAGGAGAAGGGACCGACTTGGTGGCAGATTAATTTGCCGCACCATTTTCGAGACGGACCTTTCAAGAAAAAATGGATCTTGTGAGAACAGGTTGTCTGACTCCAACGCTAGCTGGCTTGTCCCAGCAGGGGAAAGGATTTGTTCGTCATTTTCAGGCAAGCAACTATGAACGGTACCCACGGCTAACAGCTTCAGAGAACCGCTGCAGGTATTCTGCTGGGAATGCCTGTTGCTCGCATCAGATGGATTTGGTAGCATTAAAGCGAGTTAAAACGTACGCCAGAAACACGACCGGGCAGACACGTCTTTCAGCATTAGCCTCCATGTCCGTAGAAAAGGATCTATTCATGGACCTGAAGCGCACAGATAAACTGTACAGAGCCATTGAGGTTTTCCTCAGGAAAGAAAGAAGGATGGATTTTATTTTCTAATGAGCAGGAGAGGAGGAGATCCATGCTGGACATTTATGTTGGTGAGTAGAAACATTTTATTAGTATTTTTTTAATGTTTTGTCATTTTATTTTGTTAATAATCAATAAATGGTAACGAAATAAAATGGCAAAATGAAATTATTCTGTGTTCTGTTTCTATGCAATTTATATTGTGAATGACGTGGTGTGTGCAGCTGCGCCAACATGTTCAATTGTTTCGCGGTACAATTTTCTCCAAAACAAATGCAAATAATGTGTTTGCTTTACTTATTTATTTTATTGTCTCATCTCTTAAACCCGTCTTTCATTTCTGAGATTTGACGGTATCCGTGGTCAGCTTCCTACTCTCAACTGGGAATGCGAGTTTGATTTTAAAGACTCTGGAAATTATGTGTCTTGACCAGCCACTGGTGTGTGTGTGTGTGTGTGTGTGTGTGTGTGTGTGTGTGTGTGTGTGTGTGTGTGTGTGAGGTTTCTCCAGCTGTGATGTCCTATTGATGATATTTTAGGTGTATTAAATTAGATTGGACTGAATAGGAAATCACTGAAGGCCCAGGGGTGGAACGCACCGCCCGCCACTGCTCGTTAACTGGTCATCACTCCATTCCTGCAGGATGTTACATTGGTATCAGTTTATATACGAAACAATCATCGGTAGAACCCCGTCCTATCTTCGCTCATTACTCATCACTTCTAACAACCAGCGCAATTTACGTTCCAGTAACTTCATCTCTTCATGCATTCCATTTTCTACCTTCAATAATTCATTGCAATCAATAGTTTCTGATCAATGTCCCTGCTTCTGAGTACGTAACGATTGTCTTTTTTAATTACTTGTACACATTATATATGAGAACAGTCCTTTGTCTTTGTGTCTGACTGTTTTATCTTGTTTGTTTTATTTTATCTGTTTTTCTTTGACGTGTCTGTTGTTGCTGCTTCTTGCCAGATCGTCACTGTAAACGAGAATGAGTTCTCAATTGACTCATCTGGTTAAATAAAGGTCAAACAAACAAACAAACAAACAAACAAACAAACAAACAAACAGCAAGCAAACAAACAAACAAACAAACAACTAACTAACTAACTAACTAACTAACTAACTAACTAACTAACTAACTAACTAACTAACTAACTAACTAACTAAAAATAGAAATAAAGAATGATCAGCTGTATCTGTTATGGTTGACTCTCAGCTACTATAACACCACATTTCCATATTTGTGAATAATTATGGTTATTTTTGTGCTCACTAAATTACGCTAAGTACGTTGATTAGCTGTATCTTGAATGGAGCTGACTTTACTGGTTAAGCAGCTGTAATGAATAATAATAAAAACAGATATTTGCAAATATTGGCAAATATTCTAAAGCTCCTTTTGTTGGTGGGTGATAAAATAATTAAGTGGCCCGCACTAACAGATCAATAAGACCAGAATTAGTTTTGTTCTGCTCACTACTAAACTTAATAATTTAAAGACGTAGGTATTGTGTGTGTTGAGATGAATGAAGAAACTGATCAGTGTGTGAACCCTGTAGGTATGAGAGGACTGTTAGTCATGTGATTATACAGCATCTGACATTGTTTTCCTATATTAAAGGTTCAGAGTCATACGGACTTGTTAGGGTAGTACCGGGTTGCAAATGTATCTGCCTGGATGATCTGTCAAGACCGAAAGAGACAAGAATAATCTCATTTGCTGATTTCAGAACACTTTTAGTCTTGTTGTTCCTCACCAGCATCGCAGCTCCGGCGGCGCGCTATGTCTGCCCAACATCTGTCTACAAATATAGAGTGCTATGATTGGTCAGACCAGAAATTGATCTGGCCAATGATAGACCTGCTGAGGCTACAATGGAGAGTGGCTAGACTGACACGCAGAGCTACATGTTTCGATACATCAACAGTTTTCCTAGATTTCCTGGCTACCACAATAGCTGAGTGGAATGACTTGATTTGTAATTAAAAAGAAAAAAGTAAAACTCATTCAATTGAGATTCCATTTTTTCATTTTACCTGCTTAACAATACAATATATAGGGAATACTGTAATAAACCCTACAAAGTATTTAGGGTTTGAAAGATATCTGTAAATGTTTGTATAGATGTGTGACAGATAAATGGCATTTAATGTTTGCTTTAAAGTGACAGTGTGTATTGTTCCTGACGATAGGGGGCAGTAGATACCTGAGTTGTTGCAAGCAAGCTGTATTTTTGTGTTGTAGTAAGACTTAAGCAACGGATGCCCAGCAGGGTCAAAAAGCCCTGGGGAGTGCAAACTTCAGCAAATAGACTCGCTTTCATCACTGGCAATGAGTAAAGAGGTAAATGTGTAAAACAACAACGTTTATGAATGGTGAAAGTTTTGTAGTCGCTTGTTACAAATCAGTAAATGCATTTTGTCCTCATGGGCTCCCGTAGAAGGAAACATGGCATCTAATATAGCGTCGCCCAGAGACTTAGATCCACTCCCATGTATTTTAGACCTGATTTTTATGGTTACATGTTACAAAGCTGCCAATATTTTTCAACAACTGGGCATCATTTCATTAATTTTCAACAATATTGTGATGGATATTTCCAGAGATAAATGATAAAAATTACACATTGTCCCTTTAAACCAAGAAAAATTCCCAAATTTCTTGGATTTAAAGGAAAACGGCCTGGATTTGTATTGGTTCTAAGGTTCTACAACCCCCCAAGGCGCTTCACAACACGATCAGTCATTCACCCATTCACACGCTGATGGGGATGAGCCACAGCTGCCCTGGGGCGCATTGACAGGCAAGGCCTGCCAAACGCAGGCGCCACCAGCCCCTCCGACCATCACCGGCAGGCAAGGTGGATTAAGTGTCTTGCTCAAGGACACAACAGCAGAAATCTTAGGTCGAAGCTGGGATGAAACCTGCAACATTTCGAATACTGGACAAACAGCTCTACATCCTGAGCTAATACCATACTGCTGGATCTGTGTTTTTCTTGGTCTAGAGACTAAATGTATTTCCCTTTATCAGCATTAGGAATAAGATCTGGGCCTCTGTTTGCTTTGGTAATGAACACCACTCTTGAAATGCAGTTGCAGGCTGTAAGCCATCCTTCTTTAGATAATGGAGGGCCCAGACCTTTTAAGCATTGTCATTGGACATATTTGGATTTTAGTGATCATAATGATAAGTTGGTTTACAGGAGTTAGGAAAGCACCTCTGGACTCTAAAATCAATGTAAAACATCAGGCACAAGGTAAATGATGGAAAAAACAAGTCATGGAAAATGGCAAGTAGCGTGTTTTTCTTCCAGTTGCAGAAGTCCAGTACTGTCACATAACCACAACATTTTTTCCTATGTGTGGGCGTACAGAGTAGAGAAAATGGGCAAAGAGTAGTCACTCTGCAAACAAGATTCTTTAAAATAAAATAAAAACCTTTTAGGCTTCAAAGGATTGTCTTTTTCTGCCAAATGAGCGACCAAATAGCTGATAACATCAACCCGGACAGAGCCAGATGTCAGTACAGGCCTTTACGTAATCCCTACAGTGTTTTGCTGCATCAGCAAACTGACCTCAGGTCAGCCGGCGTCATGTAAGGCACGCGTGTGCAAATCCAGCGACGCAGTTAGCTAACATTTATTTTAGTAATGAAGGAGTTTTCTCTTCTCATGGAAAAAAAAGTGAAGCTCAAGCTTGCATGCAAATGATTAAACTATTAAAAATAAACTTTTGTCACAGAACTGAGCAGATTAAATATTATTATTTTCTATTTTACCGGGATTTGGTGGGTAACAAGTTGCAGCTAAGGCTAGCTCAAATCCCTTTTCTTCAATCAAGAGTTTTTATTTGGTTTGCCTTCCGTTTGCCTTTACTTTAATTAAAAATAAACAGAAGTGACGATAGCTCACGTGAAAAACAACTTAAATAGAAATTTGAAGTTTATAAGTGAATGATTTGATCGCTTTTCTTCTACTTAGGATGTCTTTGTTCTCAAATGGCACCAAGCTGGTTTCACTTACTTATCAAGCACAAAATACAGGTCAAACGCTCCGTGACAGGAGCTCTCCTCCTCCTCTTCTTCATCCCTCGGCTCCGGCTCCGCTCGCAAGGCTGAAGAAGCAAATAAAAGTAATCCAACCAGAACCAGAAGCAGACGCATGGTGTCCAGAACAAATCTGGCTGTATTTTCTCTTCTGGAGGAAAGGATATTTCCTTTGTGGATAACAAAACCTTCTCTTTCTGTCCTTTTTTTTTTTACATCCCAATGATACTTAGAAGAAACAGAAGAGTGTCTTTGACATAAATCTCAGTTTAAAGCCATGATCTAGCCGATGAAAGCGGGAGAGAATTTCTAAATGATGTCTTGGTTGTCTCAGTTTGCTCTCAGCAGGAAAAAGTAATTAGTAAAAAAAGAAAATCCGATAGACTGAATGGGTATGTGTGTTTGGAGAGAGAAGCCTCCTTAGAGCTGGGTTTGTTCTTTAAAAGTTTGGAGCATCTGCAGAGCGCTGGTAGAACTGGGAGTCCAGTGGGACACATTTGACTGAAGTGGAGCAGGTTTCATGTTTCATCCTGAGGAGGAGAGAGACAGGAGGGAAAAGAGCCCATTTTGCACCTCCTCCACCTCCCGATGCATTTCATGAGGAATTAGTCAAAGATGAGCTTGATAACATCACATCCTTTTCATGTGAATCAGCATTGCCAGCACCATTAAGTATACTTAACACAAGTGAGTTAGGTCATTTAGAGAATATTAGCGCAGTGGGTTGAGTCTCTGGTTCAGTGGGCTGCAGAGTGTCTCAGTGCTTTTTGTGGACAATGTCCTGTTCTCACTGATCCAAGACCTGGTTTGCTGCTGAGGGTGACACAAAGTATCTCCAAGTTTCAGGCCATGGTGTTCAACTGGAAAAGGCTGGACCGCTAAATTAGGTTTTGCTCTAGGTGGAGGAGTTTAGATATTTATGTTGATGAGTGACAATGGAAAAGGAGATTGATAGGTGAGTTTGACTAGTGTCTGTTGTCATGATGATGATGATGATCATGGATGGATGGATGTTTCTTATCCAAGTGACAGTGTTGTTCAGCCGGAGGAGCATCAAGTAGAACTCTGCACATAAGGTCCCTTTCACACTGGATGACTTACCTCACACTCGACAACGTCCAAGGCCAATTACAGTGTGGCTTAAATGCAGCAAATTTGATAAACAAAAACAAAAGCAAATTGCTTCGTTTTCTTGCAAAGACTGTAATGGTACCTTCTGGTTGGCTATGAGTCTCCACCTCAAGGGAAGGAGTTCAGTTATCTTGGTGTCTTGTTCTTGCCTGACTCACTGCAGCCAGGGTCTCTTGTTTCCCAACTGACTGGGAGCAGAAGGCTCTGTAGAGATTTGTTGCATTCTCTGTGGACATTGCTTTGCGACATGACCATCATTTTGGCACTTGAAGCATATAGGCTTACCGTCAGGAGTAAATCGAGGAACTGTTTTGCTCTTAGTTTGTGTCGGACTACTAGTAGTCTTGTTCTGAGTCTTAAGCTCCTTCACAGCTTTAGTAAGTTCAGTGATCACTTTATCTTGCTCAGCAAGCACTTTAAGGACATCATCAAATGAAACTGAGTTCTCACTTTCATTGCATCCTCAAAAGACATCTGTTTTTTTTCTTTTGAGGATGCAATGAAAACGCTTAGCGAACAGGGAGAAATTACTAATCCCACTAAAGCAAGTGAGAACTCAGTTTCATTTGATGATGTCCTTAAAGTGCTTGCTGAGCAAGGTAAAGTGATCACTGAACTTACTAAAGCTGTGAAGGAGCTTAAGACTCAGAACAAGACTACTAAAACAGTCCCCCGATTTACTCCTGACGGTAAGCCTATATGCTTCAAGTGCCAAAATGATGGTCATGTTGCAAAGCAATGTCCACAGAGAAGGCAACAAATCTCTACAGAGCCTTCTGCTCCCAGTCAGTTGGGAAACAAGAGACCCTGGCTGCAGTGAGTCGGGCAATGCAGGGTGACGTCATAGACTCGTCTGAACCTGAGATCACACGTGAGCAAATAATTGAGCGAGCTATAGGAAAATGTCCTGTAGTCGATCTAAAACTGGGCGGCGTAAAAGCTCATTGTTTACTTGACACTGGGAGTCAAGTTAGTACCATAACAAATGAGTTTTTCAGAAAAAACTTAGGTGGTGACAGGAACATGCTATCTACCTCTAGTTGGCTAAAAATAGCTGCTGCAAATGGACTTGGCATTCCCTTTCAGGGTTATGTTGAACTGGAAGTTGAAACTATGGGCTTGAAAATCCCAAATTGTGGTTTCTTGGTTTTGAAACCAGCTAATCCTGTTGTGTCTGAAGCATGCATAATTGGTATGAATGTTATCCGCAGATGCAGCCAGCTGGTGACCACAGAGTTTGACAACACGTTGGGAGGGTCCTTAGACTGGAGGACAGCTTTCCAACAGATGCAGGTTTGCTGCGTCGAGAGGAAGGCCACAGTTAGGGTCGCAGGCAGGGATAAAGTACGCATTCCTGCATCTTCAGTATCCACTGTACTGGGTAAAGGTCACACCAAAACCTCAGGTACTGCCTCTCCATTAATCATAACACCAGTGAACACTTCTCTGCCACCGGGTTTAGTACTTACCCCAACTCTTGTCACAAACACCAGCCACGTGATTCCTCTTCAGGTGGTTAATCTTGCTTCAGAGGATCTGTGGTTGTGCCCCAGAACAAGACTAGGCATAATTTCAAATACTGACTGTCGAAAGTGAGAAAACATGCCAGGTAAATTTTCAACGCATTTCTGCAGATGTTGAACAGGTTTCAGTTGATTCCGAAACAGAACAGAACAATGGTGAGGTGCATGCCATTTTGGACCAACTTGACATAGGAGGTACTCAGGAAGAGCGAGTTGCTCTCTGCACTTTGATTTCTCGTTACATTGATGTATTTGCCGATGATGACGAAAATCTGGGATACACAGACAAGGTGAAGCATGAGATCATGTTGGTGGATGACGTACCCGTTATCCAACCATACCGGCATGTACCTCCTAACCAGTACCAAGAAGTACAAGAACATATTTCCAAACTTTTGAAAAAGGGAGTCATATAGGAAAGTGCAAGTGCTTACGCCTCCCCAGTTGTGGTAGTCCGTAAGAGGCACGGCAGCATACGGTTATGTGTAGACTATCGAAAACTAAATCTAAAAACAAGGAAAGATGCATTCCCATTGCCTCGCATTGATGAGAGTTTTGATGCTTTAAAAAGTGCCAAATACTTCTCTACCATTGATCTGGCAAGCGGGTATCACCAAGTAGCCATGGATGAAAAGGATAGACATAAGACTGCTTTCACAACGCCTTTTGGGTCGTTTGAGTATGTTCGCATGCCCATGGGAGTATGTAACGACCCTGCGACATTTCAAAGGTTGATGCAGGCCACCATGAGCGATTTGATATTTGATATCATGTTAGTCTACCTCGACGACATTTTGGTGTACTCACCAACATTTGAGTCCCATTTGAAAAGGCTGGAAATAGTCTTTAACTGTATGAAGTGCACAGGATTAAAGGTGAAGTGGGAGAAATGTCATTTTTTGCAGAAGGAAGTTAAATTCCTCAGACATCAGATCTCTGCAGGTGGTATCGCAACTGACCCAACCAAAATAGAGGCGATCAAGGACTGGCCTGTGCCTGCCACCTATAAAGAACTTCTGTCATTTCTAGGCCTTTATAGCAACCACAGAAAGTACCGTAAATCCTCTAATATTAGGCTGTATTTAATTAACTGCCGGATATCATATTTTGGCTGGTGTCGGAGTCGGCGGAGGTGAATAATGGCCGTTTTTTTTATTGTGGCCGGGTGGAATGTGGTAACAAGCAAGTACCACAGGAAGGGCGGTTGTGTCATCCATCTCACTTTTGATTTGCCAGTGATAGACCGCAAGGGTAACTTTAACCGTGCGAAGACGAAGAGGAGGCGAAAATTTGATATCAAGTTCAAAGAGAACATGTTGATTATGCTGCAGAACACTCTGGGGAGCAGTAGGGGTTGTATGAACTAGTCACTAGTCGACTTCACCGCTCTATAGTGACTTTTTATGCCTGTCATCGACTAGTCGCTGTCACGTGATAATTACCGGCAAGATGCAGTCCACGGAAAAGACAGCAGCCTGCTGTCAGCAGGTGACAAGCTCCTGCGCGTCGGGAGGCAACGCGCTGTGCCAGAGCGTCGGTACTGACACCCGCCATAAAACGGACATTTGACCGAATTGTGACCTTTACCCTCTTGCAATTTAACCTTCCCCTCACCCCCATCCTAATCTTAACCAGCTTGCGCATGCAAAGCTCTGATTGTTGACACGCTCCAGACGTCTGCGTCCTGAGCACGGCCACAGTAACATTATCAAATCAGGTGACGCCACCTCAAAAACTAATTTAACACGTGGTCATTCATGTCAGCTCATTTCCTTTTATGTTTTCTGTCTTTTATTTGTGCCTGATGCGTTTCGCTGCTGTGGATCGGGGCGCATCACCTGTTTTGTCCTCGGTGACGCACTTAACTGATGTGACCGGCGAGCACTCTGCTGTTTTTGCGGTCGGTAGATCTTTTAGAACTGCAGTTCAAAGGTAACTCATGAGGTGAATATATATGAACCCAGGTAGCTGTCATGTCTCGTGGTGTGTGTTTAACCCAAGACATGCAGTAATCTGACTCGACGAGCAGGTAGGATGAAATTAAAGTCTTTATTTATTAACTGGAACAAAAGGTGCACAGGGAAGTCCTGTGGAGAGGGTGAGCAGTAGCTCGAGTCCATAAACGTTCGGGGAGAACGAGGTGAGGAAGCCGAGGTGAGCTCAAGTCAGTCCAGGGGTGATCAGGAAACAGGTTAGACAGCGGAAGGGATCCAACCAGGCACAGCGGAGGAGGATGGGACGTGGTGTGAATGTCCAGTAGTAAAACAGCAAGTTGAGGCAGGTTGAATGAGATGCTGGAGAGAACAAACAACATCCAGATTTCAGGGTAATCCAAAGAGTAATCAGAGCGGTCCAAGTTCAATAATCCAAAATATCCTATATTCGAGTGATGAGTTCACAAAACAAGAGTGAGTGGCTGGGACTACCTATACAGGAGGAATCATCCGGCGTAATGAGGTGTCACCATCCTCCTTTTATACCCGCGTCCCTGATTGGAGATGTTCTGCAGCTGCGGCCCCCTCCGCGGTCACCTGTGGAAAATCAGTCAGATAGAGTGAGATGGGGGTGATGTCACTCACCTCGGCTCAGGAACATCACAGTAGCAGTTTTTCTTTAGGATTGTGAGGAGATGCAGGAAGATAAACAGGCAGGACAGAAAAATAGTCAAATAGAAACAAGTTTGTTTTTGTACCTGGTGGTTGCAACAAACAGACACCACTGAAGGTAATCAGAAGTGAGGAACAGAAAATGAAATAATTACTTTAATGTTTAGAGCAGCAGGAACTCTGAGAGGCTGCAGGCGCATCAGTGAGTTTGCGGCCACTGCACAGGGGGAGGGGGGAGAGGGCTGAAGCAGAAACTACCGTTGTTAAAAGAAATGTGTTTAACTTTGAAAATGTGGGCGCAATTTTAATTGTCAAAAACTCCAGCGAACCATTAGTTCATTTTGCTCAAATAGAAATTGAGGCCTGCCTCTAATTCTGGTCCTCCTTCCAATAAAGGCCTGGAGCTTGATGAGCTTGAGTCAAATACAGGCCCGGGCCTGTATTAGAGGATTTACGGTATGTTAAACATTTTTCAAAGATTGCAGCCCCACTACATGACCTTGTAAATCAGTGTCATGGTGTTATTAATGCAGCAAAAACTAATCAAAAACTAAGTGGGACACCAACAGTCTGAATGCATTTGACACACTGAAAAATCGACTGGTGATCGCACCTGTTTTAGGGTATGCAGATTTCACGTGTCCATTTATTTTGGAAACAGATGCTAGTGGTCAGGGTTTAGGAGCCGTCTTGTGTCAGCAGCAGGGTGACAAAAAGCGAGTCATTGGGTTTGCAAGCAGGCGACTAAGAAATGCAGAAATTAATAACTGAACACAAGTTAGGGTTCTGTGCTCAGTGACTGAGGTGAGTGCCTCACAAGTGTGTGTGCAACCAAACGTGGTGAAAAGGAGCACGTCTACTTTCTCCAGACCTGGCAAAGCTTTGCCATTGACCATTTGGAGCCAGAAACGGGAAGGGCAAGTCCTGATAAAATGTTCTTTCAAGACCAAATCTGCTTGAAGGTCAACCAGCAGCATCTGACAACGCCAGCTTTTCCTCGTTTAAAGTGCTGTGTGACTTCCTCTGAGAAGCTCCTGACGTCTGTGATGAGAAATGGGCTGTGAAGGAACATGGCGAGCTGTTGCCCGACACTGACGTTGTCTAAAAGGATTACTGAAATAAAAAGTATTATTGTTTCATATTACTATTAGTATTATTTTTATTATTGCCTTGGGGGTAGTAGGATTCTAGATGGTGCTATATAAATACAGACATTTTACATCATCATTAAACATTTGTGAAAAGCAATTGTGATGCAAAGATAACCATATTTTAATGTAAAAGAATCCTATTCCTATATTTCTGCCACTGTTACTCGTGACTCATTGAACAAAAAGGTTTTATGAGATTTTCTAGATGTTTCTAATATCTTTCTCTTCTGGACAGAGATGTCTGGTTTGTACTGAACCTCTTTTATTAAAACTTTTAGAAGTCTTTGGCATTATGCTTCTTGTACTCTAACAAGGCAGATCAACCCCCCTTGTGAAGAAAGGTTTGCACCCAACACCTCCATCCACAGCTGAATCCAAAAGCCTTCATCAGTTTGATCCCCTTTAGTCTTTCAGCTCATTTTACAAACTCATATATAAACGGTTTGATTACAAAACTACTCCTACAGTTATGTCGTAATCGTTCAAAATGTTGTATTTCAAAACACTTTGTTGATTACCTCCTGCAATAATTTATCTCCACAGTGAGACAAGAGCCCTCTGCTCCGTTTTCAAGCAGTGGAACACAAAGCTGGTTGTGTAAGAGGCTAAGAGACACCAAATGTTGCTTGTTACGATGATCTGAAACAGCTTTGCCCAAAAATAATTAAGGAAATGATTTTCATCTGTCGGATGCCTCTTGAGATGAACAAAAATGCTAAAATCACTTTTGTTTTTATTCTTTTATTGTGTCTCTCCACTGGAATTGATACAACCCAAGTCGGTCTACATGACATGAAGCTCACTGCATAATGAACATGCAGCGTCTGACATCAGTAATGAGGACATCACGTACGTGATGAAGCAGGTACATCTCCTGCTCCATGATGAAGCAGGTTAACGTGCAGAATATCTAACATGATGCGGGGAACGCTTACTATAATTTAGCCTCTTTTACAAGTAGATTTGGTATAAAGACACAGCTTTCTGAGATTGATCTTCATTCATCTTCAGGGCCTTTAATTTCCAAAAGTTGAAACGGAAAACACACTAAAAACTGCTGTTTTACATAATAAACATAAGAAGGCCTAAATACTGAAAGAATTAACAACAGATTACACTTTGTACTCAGCTAGATTGTTCTCAGTCAAACTCACAAGACCCTCAGACTGCCAAAGCAAACATGAAATCTGATTAGTTCAGGACTTAGTTCACTGCTGCCCTGAGAAGTGCTTGGTGAGGATGCCCTTCGCAACCTCCAGGGCAGCATCAGCTGAGGTGGAAATGTGGGGGGTAACACCAGTTTTCTCCCAGCCCGGCCCAAGTGTAGTGTCTGAGTGGACTGTAGGGATGGCGAGGAAGATGCCGCTTTCACCAACAGGAAAGACCTTTGGTGGGTGGGAAGCCCCAGCAGTGGTCTCTCCAACTATCATGGCTCGTCCAAGCCTTTTCATGATGTAAACAAACTCCTCCGCTGCACCGGCTGTAGCTTTGCCGGTCAGAATGATGAGGCTCTTCCTGGAGCCGTACCTTGTGCCTGGAGAAAGGTTAAGAGAAAGAGCTGTTGGAGAGCTCAGCAGCCAGTGAGCCTGAGTATGTAAGTACAAATTTGGTGAAATGGATGAAATACGGGAGGGACTGAAAGTGGCGTGCAAGCCTCACCAGTGAGCTCTGGTAAGGTTAGCAGTTCAGTGGTGGTTCCAGACACTCTGTCATAGAGCTTGTCCAGCAGAACCTGCTTGTCTCCATCAAAGAAGTAGGAGCAGAATCCAGCGATGGCTGTTGTTGGTCCACCAATGTTGTTCCTACAAGGCCAAAGAAGACTAACCACTGTTAAAAACCACCCAGTACACTTACATTTGGATTGTGCTTTTCAAATTCAAGGAACTCCAAAGCCATTTACACCACAATTACACTACAACATTCACAGGCTGCTGATGAGCTACACTGTAGCCACAGCTGCCATACACAGACAGAAGCAAGATTTCCACACAATCAGTGCCACCAGCCCCTCTGACCACCACCAGAAGGCAAGAAGGAAGTTGTGTGTTGCCAGAGGACGTCACAACTGTGATGGGTGAAGCCCGGGTTTGAACAGCAACTCACCGATTACAGGGTGAATGCTTACCCCAGAGCCACTGTCTGCCCACACACACAAACCCACAATAAACACTAACTATACTTAGAGGGGACAACTACAATTAGATGTTAATTAAAAAAGACATCTTCATTGAGGTATTGATTATTCAGAACCTATAGAGGTAAGGATAATCACAATTCTCTAGTATCACATGGTCTGAGAAGCTATAGTGGCTTTTTTGTGTCATGATTGTGCCTTCTTCTGGACCCAAAGTGGTGGTGATGGATGCCAAGATCTGATTAGAAATTAGAAATAACTTTAATATTGAATATAAAAAAGCTGACTAGGCAGAAGGAAACAGAACTCGAAGATGCTGGGCATGAGGAGAACACTAGGTGGGAGAGCCTTGAAGGCCACTCTCGTGGTCTGCCTGTATTTGTTTCTGTTCTGTTTTGATTCTGATTCTAATTCTGATTAAATAAAAAGTTGCTAATGCTAACGTTAGCTTCTACTAGTGGAGAAATTTTCTGCTGTTTCCTGGAAGCAAAAACAACAAACAGCCTTCCATGTCACGAGTCAGGATGGCTGAGTGAACGTTCGGTGACAGTGTGACGTAGATCTGTTAGAGTATGTTCATGTTCAGCCTGCATGGAAAACTCAGAGTGACAGATTAAAATCAGAAATAATGATTGAAAATGTTTTTAAGATTACCCACCTGAGATCAACAATCATAGCCTTTGTGTTGAGAATTTTGCTCCAGATGTGCTCGACTATGACCTGAGCGAGGGGCTTGACCTCCTCAAAGTCTCCAAACATGTCAAAACGCAGGTAGCCAATGCTGTCGTCAAACACATCAGTGTGGAAAGAGACTTTGATCAGGTCGATGTACATCTCTGGAGTGTAATTCTGTAGACAGAACACAATCTGAGCAGACATAGCAAACGTGTCTTAAATACAAATAGACATTTTTACTAAACGGATCATTTACACATAAAAGTTTACTATGTCAAGTTCTGCAATCTGTTTTATAGTTATTTTTATCATAACTTTATTTCAATCTTCCTGTTGTGTTACTTCTCGATAAACCTAATGTCCTTTTGCAATGATAAAGTAACTTTATCACCAAGGGTCTTACCACTGGTGGGAGAGGTGAAATGTTGCTGGTGCTCTTCAGGCCCTTGTCTCCAGAAAGGGTCAAAAGGTCTTCAGACAGCTTCGTCTCCAAACCTTCTTTGGAGGCAACCATCCTGAACTCCCCCTTTGTCAGGAGCTCTTTCAGTTTTTCTGCAACATTGGCACCGACGTTCTCAAAAGCGTAGTTGTTAGCAATCAGAGTGGCTGATTCTTCTATAATGGCTGGAACTTGAGCACGGAGGTTGATAATCTTGATTGCGGTGGCGAGAGCATCCTCTGCATTGACGTTCACATCTGGTGTCACGCCTGTGAGCTCCCAGCTAGAGCCTGTTATGGGGTTGATGGACTTGGCAGTTGGCATGGTGATGTAGAAGTCAGTGTCACCCACTTTGAATGTACTAACTTTTACTGAACCTCCAGCGGTCTTCTCACCTACAATGGTTGCTCTCTTCAGGTTCTTGAGGCAGTAAGCAACATCCTCAGCGATACCCTTAGTGTTTTTGCTGGTGAGGATAATTAGAGGCTTGGTTATGCTGTACCTCTGACCCAGAAGGCTGGAAATGGAAAACAGCTCGGTTGTGGTGTTTGAGGGACGGTCGTAAATGGTGTCGATGTGAATCTGAGGCTCTGCTTCAATGAAGTAAGACACAATATAAGAAATACCTGTGATGTCCCCGCTGCTGGTGTAGCGTAGATCAAAGATGAGGGCTGAGGTGGGCAAGATTTTATTCCAGATTAGGTCTACGAGCAAAGGGCCAACCTTGTCTGCAGCTTCCTCTCCGAGGATGTTGTCAATTCTCAGGTAGCCAATGTTGCCCTCCAGGAGATCTAGCTTGATAGCTGTCTGGAGGACAGCAACAAGCTGCTCAGGTGGCAGAGGAGGAATCTGTGGGGGGACAACAGGAACATAGTCTGGCTCATAAGTGACCTTCAGTCGTGAGTCACTGGTTGTAGTTTGGACTCCATCGCTCAAGACGCTGGCTAACTGTTCACCATCTGGGATGTTGAGGACCTCTGTGTTGCTTGAGGCTGCTTCAATATCCTCCTTCATCCCCACCAGCTTCTCTGGTAAGCAGTAATTGTCCATGACAATTTGTGCCATTTCCACAATAAGACTGGGTGGAAATGTGGCCTGCAAAAAGGAAACATTCCCTAAAGCTAGCAGAGAGGCTACAAGGAAAAAAAACTTTGCCATTTTTATCAGTTCTATCCAACAAGAAGTCTATGGACTTGAAGAGGAAGTTAGTGAGGCAAACCTCCTTCTCCACAGAGGTTCTTCGACAAATGGTACAATTTTGGCTGCGAGGTTTCTGATAACTTGTACATAAGAGGATTTAGTCCACAATAAACCTCTAATCACATTATCCCGAGTGTTTCTGTTACAACCTGTTGGGAGTAGCAACAATAGGGTGTTAGTAGAGATTCTAGTCTTTACGCAAAGGAGTCTGGGCAGTTTTTCAAGTTTCCTGTGCCAGATAAACTTATAAAAACTTATATAAAAAGTTTCATAAGTGAGATGTGTCCAGATGGGGGTTAAATAAGATCAAATAAATATTGCTGCTTAGTACGTGTGCCAACTCTATGTTCAACTAAGAGTTTTGAACATGTCAAATGAAGTTAATGGGTTTTAAGATGAAAACTGATCCAAATGTACAAATTTACAGGGGTATTCCACCCCAAAGGGACATTGAAGCTGTTTTTACAGGACCATAGCCTTTGCAAAACGGGATTTGCTGCGGCTCCCTGGGGAGGATTTTGGCATTTATAGTAGCAAAGCTGACGCTAGATAAACTGCCATCAGACACCTCTCAAACCAAGACGGGATAAAGGGAGGTCGCTTGGCGGCCCCCCCGCATGTGACGTACAGGGTCGCGCATTCAGCGTAAGAAGGAAGACACGTCAGACTGATGAAATTTCTTTTTCAGGACCTGTAGCTTTGATGTGACCTGCTTTTTGTCCCACTTCACACCCTGTTCAGCCAGTGTTTTCATCACTCTGTCTCGAACAGTTGGCTGTCTCTCACCATCCCCGTAAAAAGGCAACTAATCTGCTTGTCCGCTCGCACGGCCAAAAGCTCCATGGTCTACGCGTCCGTCCAGTTTGCCATGTTGTAGGTGGTTGAAAGATACTAGTGAGAGGCCATGCTTATCTGTGTTTATATCCCTTCCGGCCGGCACTCTGCGCGCAGTATCCGTCACTAACCACCCTCTTTTGCGGGGGGTGGGGGGGTGGGTGGGTGGGGGGGGGGGCTCCCACAGTGGGTCCAAAGGGATTAGCGGGGCTGACACGCGTTTAGACATCAGAGGCAAGGGGCTCCTGCGGCAATATTACTACGAGGCTAAGCGCATCAGAATCAAATTTTATCACCTTTCCCTTTTGCTCCTTGCCACATTTACGAGACCCACAAATTTGGATTTATCACTCTGTAATGATGCGAAGGTCTGTCTAATAAAAGAGGCTTTCGTCTGTTGCTACATTTCCCAGAGTTGCATAAGTGGGAAAGCATTTTGTAAGCAGCCCAGTCATTCTCCTGGTCTGTCAGTGCTTTGTTAGCTTTAGCTTAGCATAAACAATGGAAGTGAATGGTAACAACTAGCACCACTATGAGCAGCTACTGCAAGGCGTAAGGACAAGTTGCAAGGGGTGTGAGGTTGGTCAGACTTGTCACTTTTACGTTTACTGCATACATTTACAACATTTCACACTAATGACAGTAAATGGCGAGTGTGGCGGTGCCAAGCCCCCATAATTCGGGTCTGGATATGAAGCAAAACAGGAAGTGACAACAACTGCAGTTCCACACTCATCCGCTGGGGGCTGGTGTCAGAAGTTAGCAAATCCTCATTGATTCCCATGTTAAAAATACCAATTTCACAGCAGAAATAAACATGTTAATTCCAGAATATCTAAAATTAGGATGGGAGGCAGATCTTTTAGTTATCAGGCTCCTCTCCTGTGAAACCAGCTCCCAGCCTTAGTCCGTGAGGCAGACACCTTGTCTACTTTTAAGACTAGGCTTAAAACTTTTTTATTTGATAGGGCCTATGGCTAAAATCTGATGTTAGCCTTGATCTGGACAAGTGGGGGAGTAGAGGGAGGTGGAGTGTACATTTGGCAAAGACAACTCTCCCTTGCCCTGCCTCCAACATGCCTCCATCTAAAACGGCAAGGTTATCCAGAGTTATCTCTGTAGTTATGCTGCTATAGGCTTAGACTGCTGGAGGACATACTGACCACTTTTCACACTCTACTGCTTTCTTCTACAATCTGCTTTTTAACTGTATTATTTTCTGCAATTTCAGCTGCTAACTTTATTTTCTCTCTAAGTGTTTTTCTCCCCAGAAGAAGCTACATTGATGTTCTGCTGAGCTGTGGTGGACTCATGGAGGGGGCCATCGTCTAGCACACTGCTGCTAACCACTACACATTCTCCCTCTCCTGATAATAACTTTTTGCTTTCCTTGACGTTGGATGTGCTACTACTAGTTTATCCGTTTAATTATAGATTCACTGGGATAAATACAATAAAGTTTATCTCTCACCAAATAGAATATTTACTAAGAAATCACAATGTAACCATAGAAACACTACTTTGTGTGTGTGTGTGTGTGTGTGTGTGTGTGTGTGTGTGTGCGCATGTGTGTGTGTGTGTGTGTGTGTGTGTGTGTATGTGTGTGTGTGCCTGCTCTGTCTTCTCGATCCCCAGTGAGTCGTGGTGGATGGCTGCTTATACTGAGCCAGGATTCTCTGGAGGTTTCTTCCTGTTAAAAGGGAGTTTTGCTCTCCACTGTCGCTATGTGCTTGCTTAGTATGAGGATTGCTGGAAAGTCACTGACACTAGTCAGTGACTTGATGCAATTTGCTGGGTTCCTTATACAGGAAACATTTTTTATGATTGGCTTAATGAACTGACCTGAATTGGAATGCTTATTATGTGAAATGCCTTGAGATGACTCTTGTCGTGATTTGGCGCTATATAAATAAAATTGAATTGAATTGAAGTTTACAGCCTGGTTCAAAAACATGTTTTAGGTTTGATAGATCTAGTTTACACTCATGACAATTCTGAGGGGGGTGACATTTTTGTCACTCTTCTGTTTAAGTGTATTAAAAGCCTAAAATTCTGTATAGTTAATGAGCATCAGACTCACGAGACCCCAGAGCTAGCTCCGGGAAAAGGCTTCAGCCTGAGCCTCGGCCTTGCCTGAAAACTGTTCTGCCATTTTCAGTCTCTCAACTTAGACCATCAGTTGTAGCGTTTGTGTATTCTTTTTTTGGATATTATTTGTGCAATTGTTGGACAAAATGACTTGCTGTGGCATTAATTGCACTAATAGAGCGTCCAATGAGTCTCCACTTCCTTTTCTTCGGTAAGTAAAATTATATTTATGTATTTTAGGTCACTGCTGCTCTTGCGCTAGCTGAGCTTAGATTTTAACATGTACTGTTTAACCATGAAATTTAAATGTAACACAATGCTGCACTTTAGAAAATGGGTTGAAGTATAACGTTGGTGGAGCTGGGTTCCAACTACCGGCTTGTGGAGCTCTCGGGAGACCGATGTTTTCCACCCGGTTCTCCCCTCCCCGCTGCTCGGCGCATCTCTGTCTGATCGCGGCTTCTGTCTGCTGCGCAAGCTGCTGGCTTGTGGAGCTCTCGGATGGAAACCGATGTTTTCCACCCGGTTCTCTCCAGCGGTAGCTCTGCCTTCTTTTTCATATGAAATGCTAGCTGTTACCAGTCACTTACATTTCTTATGCTAAGCTAAAGCAAACAGATTATGGCCAGATTGAGAGAACGACTGGGCTGGTTACAACAAACTTTTTCTAACTTATCTAACTCTGGGGAATATGGCAACAGACTGAATTTCACTTAGGGGTTAAATATCCCTTTAGGCTCAGCTATTGTAAAAACAATCTATTATTTTACCAGGTGACTCGTTAGAAGTCAAACAACACTTTACATTAAGTTTGGAGTCATGAATGACTTTATTGTTTCCATTACTGTACACATTGAGAATCAGTGGTTCGGTTGAGTAGTGAGGAAAATGCAGGATCCAGTTTAATTTGTTTGGCAAGAGCAGTCTCTGCTGGTAAGTTCTTTTGTCAGGGAACACATAAGATTTGCCCCTTGGACAGCAGGCTGGATAAAAGTGAAATGAAAATCAAAAACAAACGTTTCCCACATGACAATGACAAGTGAAGTAATCATTCAAAATATGTGGAAATGACCATGTGATAATACAACAACTATTTATTTGGCTTTACGCCACCCCTTAATGGCCCAAAATGTTTGTATTTACAACTCTACATAATAAAGTTATGGATTAAAAAAAGGGGTAACTGATTTACTTTTTCTCTCTTCTTCAATTTGCATTACTAAAGATCAAAGGTTGTTTTGTAATTAAATCACCAATAGTGGTATTACAGTTTATTTCGATTGCTAAAACTCAAAAAGCAAAAATGAGGCATAATTTTCACAACCTCTACTTCTGTTCCCAATTGCTTGGCTCAGTTGATCACTACTTAAGATTTCCTTATCATATTAGAACTCTGATCTTCCTCATTTACACGCTGATGTCAATTTCACATTACCTTGCTGTCAAAACACAACACACAATTTTCAGGTTTACAAACACTTCTCACATAAATTCTCAAAGCTTCAATCAACAACACACAAATATTCAATCAATCAATCAATCAAATTTATTTATAAAGCGCTTTTCAAACAAAGTGTGATTCAAAGCGCTTTACAAAATGACCCCAGATTCCCATAATAGGTTAAAAACATTAACAGACATATGCAAGCACACGCACACACACACAGACTCACACACACACACACACGCACACACACACACAAGTAAAAATTATATTAGGCTGAGTCCAGATGAGCCAAGTATGGTAACGCAAGGAAACGCCATCAGAGGAGCCGTCTGTCCCGGCAGCATCAGGTCTTCCACACTAAGTCAGGGCGCTCAGTGGAGGGGGGGCATAGACCCCCACCTATAGAGCGCCCAGGAAGCTACAGTCGACCACCGCTCCCGGGGCAGAGGGCCTCTACAGAGGAAAATACTGGATTAAAATGAGTAAAAATGTAATAAAAGAGCTAATATAAATGACAAAAATTAGAAAATAAGTAATAAATAAAATGATATAGACAGTAAAATAATAATTTAAATAATAAAACTGTGCTAAAATATAATCATATAGAACATGCAACGCAAGTAATAAAATATAATCATGTAAAACGAGAAATAAAACTGTAGAAAATATTTAGATAAAAGCTAACCTAAAAAGATGGGTCTTGAGTCTTGACTTAAAAACATGAACGTTCTCTGCGGCCCTCCAAACTTTCATGTCTGGCGAGCAATTTGCAATCAGGGACTGCAGCATAAAAGTAAGTTTCCACAGGGCTACCCAGGTGTATGAGTGGTTTCAGGACCACCCACGGTTTTCCATTTTATACCTTCCACCTTATTCCCCCTTCCTCAATCCCATCGAGGAGTTTTTCTCCACCTGGAGGTGGAAGGTGTACGAAAGGAATTCAGAGAGCCAGGTTCCACTTCTTCAAGCCATGGAGGAGGCTTGTAGGGATGTGGCCTTTGAGGCCTGTCAGGGCTTCAGGAGGCACTCAACGCGGTACTTCCAGCGCTGTTTGGACCAGGAGGATGTTGATGAGGCCCTCTGGGCAGACAGAGACCGGAGGCATGATGCCCCATGATTATGCTTGAATGGGAGAGGGGGTGGAGGTGGTTACTGTAACTGTAAAAATAAAATGTTTTGTATCAAAATTTGTGTGATGTCTAATGTTTGTCTCAGGGAAAAGTGGGCACTGTCATACATTCAGTGTGTAACTCATTGGGTTCCATTTAGACAATTGTGTTTTCTGTTTTGCTCGTCAGTGTTCTTTCCATGCTTGGTAGTGTTCACCCAAAGGCTACTTGTGTTTAAGCAATGAATGCTATGTGTGCGTCATGTGAAAATGTGGCTGTGTTTACCAAATGAAAACATGTGTTCCATTTTGGGAACATGTTACGATATGTGATCGCAGGGTTTTGTTGCAAAGGGAAGCCACGGTTTAGGAATTTGTGTGTTACGTTTGGGGTTTTGTGTGTGCAGTTTTGAAAGGAACGTACAGTTTTGAAAGACGCTTTTTAGCAATCGAAAAAAACTGTAAGCTAATTAGTAGTCATTTATGAATATAGGGCAGCAGTAGCTCAGGAGGTAGAGCGCGTTGTCCAGTAATCAGAAGGTTGCAAGTTCCATCCCGGCTCCGACCAAAGAATTCTACTGTTGTGTCATTGGGCAAGACACATAACCCATCTTGCATGCTGGTGGTGGTCGGAGGGACCGGTGGTGCCTGTTTATGGCAGGCCACACCTCTGTCAGTGTGCCCCAGAGCAGCTGTGGCTACAATATCACCAGGGTGTGAATGTGTGTGTGAAAGGATGAATGATACACTGTAGTGTAAAGTGCTTTGGAGTCCTCTGACTCAGAAATACAAGTGCGGGTTATTCATCACTTATCATTTCAGCAATTGACCCCAAACATAAGGCCAAGACCAACAATTTAGTTTCAAAGAAAGACAATGAACTTGAAGGGCCAGTCAGTCACCTGACCTAAATCCCATAAAACATTTATGGAGAGAACTGTAGATTAAAATTCATAAAAGAGGCCAAAGATTTAAAGAGCGTTTGTGTGGAAGAGTGGGACAGAATCAGTCCTGAGCAACGCAAACGACTGGTCTCTCCATACAAGAGGAGTGTAGAAGCTGTAATCTTCTACAAACAATACAAAGTCTTAAATAAAGCGTATTCAATACATATTTTCTGTGTCATTTAACTTTATTATGACTCAGCTTATATTAAAATGTTCTGATGTCTTTGTATGAATTCAAGCTATCCTTTATCTGATAAAGAACCTCCAGTTGTTGGCTCTCCAATAATTACGGCTCAATTCATTGTGCGAACAAACACTTCGGCTGCTGGCCCAGTCGTATAACTTATCAGGATGTAAAGGTTTTTGGAGGATCCATATCTTTGGCCCTTTATGTGAGATGATGTGGTGACTTCAGTCAAAGTGTTTGTGGTGCGGTCTAAAATTGTGTAAAGATGTTGTAGAGGCTTAGCGTCAAAGAAATGGGTGCACAAGAGAGGAATTGCACTCCAATATCCACCGGTGTTGTACCTCATATCAATCACAAGGGAATCTGTGTTTGCAATCTTGTTCCAGATTAATTTTACGAGTTATGGCCCAATGGCTCTCACCAATTCAATGCCTGGCATCAGATCAAATCATAGATAGCCAATGTTACCGGGAAAAAGCTCAGTCTTAAACAAAGCATCGGTCATGTATCCAGCTTCTTCTACTGTGGGAATGTTGGGAACATTGTAAAACGATTCAGGTTCAACATCACAGTAGAAGACATGAAGGTGGTGGTCACCTGAACTCTCACCGAGATCTGCTGTCAACTGATATGCCAATGATTCAAAATCAACCACTGACATAATATAATCCCTTTGTATGTTTACTTAACAGCCTCTGACTAACATTTAGTGCCACTTCCTGAATTGCATAGTACTTCTCTAAGAGTTCCCCGACTGCTTCTATGATGGACCCAATGCCTATGTGGAACTTTACAATTTCATGCACATGGTCCATAGCTTCCTCTGCTAACACAATGGCTTCTGGGACCACACCTCCTTTTAGCCAGAATTCCCCATTGTTATCTATGAAATTTATGAAAGGGATGGTTATGGCAATTGCTGTCTTTTCTATTTGAAAGGTCTTTGAGTGCATGAGCTTACCAGAAGTAATTTCCCCAATGACAGTCCCACAATTTAAAGATTGTACCAAGTAAGCAAGCTCCTCTCCAGTGCTTGCAGTGGAGTAGCTGGTCAACGCTTAAACACCACAATTGGAGTCATAGGCAGGGCATGTAATTGTTGGCAGGGATTGATGTTCTGTTGTCCTGTTCTGAATTTGGTCATATCTGGTAAAAAAAAATGAAACTTCTGGGAACAGTCATGTAGATAAGATAGTAAGAGTTCCAAAGCATTAGAGGATCCACCAGTGTATAGCGTAGATCGATAATCAAATCAAATCAAACTTTATTTATGTAGCACTTAATCATACAATGAATGTAACTCAAAGTGCTTAACAAATTATAAAGGCCCCGCGTACCCACATTCCCTCCCATCCCCAGAATTTAAAAACAGTCTGATAATAAAAACCCCTTCACAACACTCATCCTCTGGCGCGCGCGCACACACACACACACACACACACACACACACACACACACACACACACACACACACACACACACACACACAGACACACACACACACACACACACACACACACACACACACACACACACACACACACACACACACATACACACACACACACACACACACGCACGCGCGCGCGCTCACTCGCACACACACACACACACACACACACACACACACACACACACACACACACACACACACACACATACACACACACACACACACATGGAAAAAGCACAATGGACTGAGTTCAGATGAACCAGACCAGCTAAGCCATCAGGGAAGCCATCCACCCCGACAGCAGCAGATCCACAGCAGGGAACCCACGGCAGGGAGGGCGGAGACCCCCCACCTCCACCTAGGCACACCTGGAAAGCACCCAGGCCACCACAGCCGACCACCGCCCCCGGGGCAGAGGGCTCCCACAGAGGAAACACTGGAAAAAGGTTAAATTAAGGTTAAAGTATAAAATAATAAGAGCTAAAATGAAAATTGTAATATAAAAAGTAATGTAGACATTAAAATAATGTCAATCATAAATCTATGGTTTAAAAAAATATGTATAAATAAATAAAAACTCTGTTTAAAAAAATACCATCCATCCATTTTCTGAACCCACTTGTCCACGTAGGGTCGCGGGGAGGCTGGTGCCTATCTCCAGCGGTCAATGGGCAATCAGGCGGGGTACATCCAGGACAGAGAGCCAGTCCATCGCAGAAAAAAGAATACATAAAATAAATACATAAATTGATGAATAAATAACCTAATTAATTAATTTATTTATTTATTGAAAAAGTGATAGTAATCAGTTAAAAGCTAAGGTAAAAAGATGGGTCTTGAGCCTGTTTCTAAAACATGAACGTTCTCTGCGGCTCTGAGGTCCCCTGGCAGCTCGTTCCAGCAGCGAGGACCGTAGTACTGGAAGGACGCTTCACCGTGAATATGAGTCCTGACTTTAGGGATGACAAGGTTATCAGTGTCTTTGAGGGGGTTCCCATACAGTTTGAGCTATGAGTTCCTCTAGTTTGGCCATTGCAGATGTCTCAGCTAATTTGTCAAAATGTAGATAATCAGTATTGCCTGGGAGAACTATCACTTTAAACACTGTATCGGTGTAAGCCTTTAATAATCCAAGATTGTCAGGTACGTTGTACAACTGAGGGTCCTCCTCTGCAGTGGTATCATTTTCTTGCACGTTTGATGATCAGTCATGGATCTTCAAAGACACTCTGGAGGTTCTGACTGAGTCTGACCACTAGATCCTCCTCAGATCCAACAGAAAACCAGTCCGTTGTTTGCAAATGTTGCAAACTTTTGGAATGGCATTCTTTACAGCAAGAAGCGATTTGGCTTTTCAAACAGCTTCCTTGGCCATTACACTTCCCAGCTCTGGCCTAACAAAGCTGGGTTAACAGATCTTGCCACAGGAACTGTTATACAGAAGCCTGTTTGAGCAATTCTAATCTTTAAGACTTTTACTGACCCACCGGCAGACCTTTCTCCAACTGTGATGGCCCTCTTGAGGTTTTTCAGAGTGTATGCTACTGTCTCAGCAGCTCCTACTGTACGTCTACTGGTCAGAACGATAACATCCTTCTTCTTTCCATATCATTTCCCTGTTATTGCTGTTATGGTCCACAGCTCCCTGGTTGTGTTTGAGGGCCTGTCATATATAGTGTCAATATGAATGAGAGGCTCAGGATCCATGATATATGAGATCACAAAAGGAACTCCAGAAAGTTCTCCAGCGGCACTGTACCTCAAATCAAAGATTAGAGAGGATGTCTGCGCAATTTGATTCCAGATGTTGTCCTGCAGCACAGCGGCCACCATTGTTACTGTCTTATCTCCAAAGATCCAGTCTATCCGTAAATATCCAGTGTTGTTTTCCAAGATGTCGACCCTAAAAGAGTTTCTCACCAGCAGGATCAGTTGTTCTTTAGGGAGCGATGACATTATCGGAGGCATGACCGGGATGAAATTGGGCTCATATGACACCGTCAGTCATGGACCATTCAAGGCTCCTTGTTCTCCAGCTGTGAGGACTGCTGCCAGTATCTTCCTGTTTCTAATCTGCAGGATTTCTTCACTGTTGATGGCTTGTTGGCTGGCTTCCTGCACCCCAAACAAATTTTCAGGAAGACAGTAGTTTTCTTGAAGAATCTTGACCATTTCTAAAACCAGAGCTGGCTGAAAGGATGGGTTGACAGATAAGAGAACAGAGGAGAAGCATCCCCAGCAGTGGTGGGGGATGTGTTGCCCCACCGTCAACATCTTCAGAAGAAGTGAAGCACACTGACATCCTTTTTTCCTACTCAGGGAAATTTTATTTATCTGTGTTGGGAGAGAAACAAAGAAAATGTCATTGTCATACTTTTTTGGGGGGGGGGGGGGGGGGGGGGGGGGGGGGCAGCAACATCCACATAAGATGTTTTTGTCCTTTAAACCTTTAATTGCTTTATGTTTACTGAGTCAGTCAGCACACAATAGCAGGCAGAATAATGTTTGAAAAAGGAATTACTCCTTAATTTGATGTTTGCATCATTTGCCAAAAGTCTTGAAGTACCCCCGCAATTAAACTCAGAGCTAGAATTGAATACGATTCTAGAGGACAAAAAAAAGGAAATCTCACTCCTTTACCTCCTCATTGTTTTTGGGCTAGAAAACTAATTTAAGGTGTATTTTGGTGTTCCAAGAACCTGGTGTGGTCGTGTCTGGATCGCTCCATGGGTGACGTAATAACAGTCTGAGGAAGTGCACCAAATCCTTCTTAAACACACATTCAGGATGAGATTTAGTTGGAAAATAAAAGCAGCAAGAATGTAGAAACAAGAGGCTTTACGGGAAGTTTTTGTTCTTTTTTCTTTTTAATCTGGGCTGATTTGTTCCTGATTTGTGACCTCCTGGGTTTTACTTTGACCTCTCTCTTAGCTCATTTGTTGAAGCAGTTCTGTGTGCTAACATTAGTATAGAGAAACGATTCATGACATTTTTCTTCTCGGGCAACATGTGACCAGCTTACCCCTCTTTCTAAATGGGGCTTAGCCTCTTAGTACAAATTCACTTAATGCAGCTTTAGACTATTCATCCAGTCCAGGGTCATGGGGGGCTGGTTCCTACATCAGCATGCATAAACTATCAGTAGTCCACAGTAATGTCTACAGGTAAAACTCAAACATTAGAATATGGTTCAAAAGTTCATTCATGCCACTAATTCAACTTAAAGGTGGAACTAATACGAGACAGACTCATTACACGCAAATCCAGATATTTCAGCCTTTGTTTGCTATAATTGTGATGATTATGGTCTTGCTGATTTCCACGCTATACGAGCTCAATGCTGGTTACCCCCTCATCACTTGTTTAGTGGACTCACCTGCCCCTTGGTAACCTATGTCTTCCTGGTTATCCATTTATGCTCCCTGTTTTCACTTGTCTTCTGTCAGATCATTGTACTGTAGTGTCTTCACCATGTTACGTTGCTCCTGTTTGTCTCATCCTACTTGCCGTTATTCACTGAAGCCAGTTTTTTATACCTGATCTGCTGTCTCTGTCTCCTGGTCCAGATCCACCACACATGGGTTCACCACCATCTCCACCTGAGCGTGGAGCTAAAGGTGGAGAAGTGTTGTCTAAGCTTGAATGATTTCGATTTCTAATCATGTTTGTATAGTCCAGGGGTGTCAAATATGCTGCCCGCGGGCCAGATCCGGCCCGCAAGCGGGTTAAATCCGGCCCGCAAGATGGTTGTGTAAACTTTATTTTCATACTTTACAATGTAGAGGGAAAATAAACTTATCTTTGTGAGCAAGTTTCCTCTGTAATGAGTATAAATAAAACAAAGCTGCGCTCAAGGCTCACACAAGAACTTGAATCCCATCCTGAAGTTGGCCGCCACTCAGGATGTGACTTGATATGGATGTGCTGGTGAAAGCCAAAAGATGTAAAGTAAAGTGAGTCAAATATACTTTAAGTGCTGCATGAAACTGATCTAGCCATGTGATCTGTAAGCTCTTTGAATCACTAAGGAATGTTTTTTTATTTGTTGATTTTTTTTTTCAAATTTTCAAATACACTTCAGGTGTTATACTTGTACTACACTGTCCTCAGGCTCCAGCCTTGTTTTATATTGATTGTATTAAAACAAAGAAAACAATCTGAAGTTTTTTTTTATTTACCGGTCCGGCCCACTTGGGACTAGATTTCCCTCAATGTGGCCCCTGAGCTAAAATGAGTTTGACACCCCTGGTATAGTCAAATCACTTTTATCTGGGGGCACATGACTTGGCAATTGCTATTTTTTGGGTATGAAGCAGAAAAGTTAGGGAGCCATAGGTATAGGGAGCCTAAGTCACGCCCATCTACTTCTGGACCATGATTCCCGGAAGAACGAAAAAATGAATGAAAGTCAATGGGGCAAAAACCGCTATTTTCTAATTTTGCTTGTTTTGTGCCATGGATGTCCGTGAATTTTAAAGACACATTTTGATACCAAGAACGCACTTCTTTTCAAACTGGGAAACGCTATTTTAAGTTTTGTGTGAAAATAAGTCCAGGACTACAAATGCGCTTCACGAAAGTGACGCCATCAAACCAAACACGAAGAAAACTGAGAGTAAAGGGCTTTAAGTTCAGCAAACTTCCTACAGGAGGAAAAAACCACCATAAATCTGGTCATTTGGTAGGTAGCAGCTACTTTGGGGAAAGGAGATTATGGAAAGGAGATCATGGTGATGGCTATTTGTAGTTTGTAGTCATGGTAATTACAAACTGTTACACTTTACTATTATTTCTTATTACTAATTATTTTTCACTTGTTAATAACAAAAGAAAAACAACTACATTCCATGTCAATACTTCATTAACCTTTTGTTGGCAGTGACAGAGGTCAAACGTTTCTGTAAGTCTTCACAAGGTTTTCAAACACTGTTGCTGGTATTTTGGTCCATTCCTCCATGCAGATCTCCTCTAGAGCGGTGATATTTTGGAGCTGTCGCTGGGCAACATGGACTTTCAACTCTCTCCAAAGATTTTCTATAAGGTTGAGATCTGGAGACTCAGTATTTAGCAGACCCTCCTTTTGCAGAAATAACAGCCTCTGAATACATCCTATAGCTTCCAAAGAGAGTCTGGATTCTGGCTGAAGGTATTTTGCACCATTCTTCTTTACAAAACATCTCTAGTTCATTTATGAGATGTTAATAATATTCAGGTCTGGGACTGAGATGGCCATTCCAGAACGTTCTGCCTGTTCCTCTGCATGAATGCTTTATTAGATGTTGAGCAGTGTTTAGGGTCGTTGTCTTGTTGACAGATCCAGCCCCGGTGCAGCTTCACCTTTGTCACTGATTCCTGGACATTGGTCTCCAGAATCTGCTGATATTGAGAGGAGTCCATGCATTCCTCAACTTTAACAAGATTTCCAGTCCCTGCACTGGTCACACAGCCCACAGCATGATGTGACCACCACCATGTTTTACTGTAGGTAGCAGGTGTTAATCTTGGAATGCTGTGTTCTTGTTCCTCCATGCATAACACCCCTTGTTATGCCCAGATAACTCAGTTCTAGTTTCATCAGCCCACAGCACCTCATTCCAGAATGAAGCTGCTTGTCCAGATGTGCTTTAGCAGACCTCAAGCAGCTCTGTTACTCCCGTGGGAGGAGAAAAGGCTTCCTCTGCATCACTGTCACACACAGCATCTCCTTGTGTAAAGTGCACCAAATAGTTGAACGGTGCACAGTGACTCCATCTGCAGCAAGATGATGTTGTAGGTCCTTGGTGCTGGTCTGTGGGTTCACTCTGACTGTTCTCACCATTCTTTGCTCTGAGATTTTCCTGGTCTGCCACTTGGAGCCTTAACTTGAACTGTGCCTGTGGTCTTCCATTTCCTCAATATGTTCCTAACTGTGGAAACAGACAGCTGAAATCTCTGAGACAGATTTCTGTCTCCTTCCCCTAAACCTTGATGGAGAACAATCTTTGTTTTCAGGTCATTGAGAGTTGTTCTGAGACCCCATTTTGCTGCTCTTCAGAGAATATTCAGAGGAGGAAACGTTACAATTGCCCACTTAAATACTCTTTGTCATGACTGGATTCACATGTGTATGGAGGACATTTTTATTGTAACAACCAACGATTTATACAGGACGGCTGCCCAAACTTTCATATCCCACTGTATTTAGGAATATTGTACATTTATGGGCCTTTAATACCTGGGAATATACAATATTTTGGAACAGTTAGGTCCTTTTTTAATAATCCAAGAGGGTACATCAATAGAAATCATTATGACCCTTGTGACCTTTAAATGCCAGTAAACCGCCCTTCTTCAAATCTCTTTTAAACCTTTGTTGATTTGTTTCACTCAATGTAATCTGTGCATATGTAATTTATTACTCCTAAAATTAAAACTAAAAAATGGAGATACTGATTTATATTCATACAGTACAAATCACAAACAAAATCCATCCATCCATCCATCCATCCATCAATCCATCCATCCATCCATCCATCCATCCATCCATCCATCCATCCATCCATCCATCCATCCATCCATCCATCCATCCACTCATCCATCCATCCATCCATCCATCCATCCATCCATCCATCTATCCATCCATCCATCCATCCATCCATCCATCCATCCATCTATCCATCCATCCATCCATCCATCCATCCATCCACTTATCTGGAGACGAGTCGTGGGGGCAGCAGCCTATGCAAGAGGCCCACACTTCCCTCTCCAGCCACTTGGGCCAGCTCCTCAGGGGGAATCCCAAGGTGTTCCCTGGCAACCTGAGAGACATAGTCCAACATGTCCTGGGTCCTCCTTTAGGTCTCCTCCCGGTTGGACGTGCCCTGAAAACCTCACCAGAGAGGCATTCGCGCAAGCCACCTTGACTGGCTCCTTCTTCAAAATACAAAAGGCAGTTTCACATCTGGGCCAGCACAGAACAAGCTGAATAGTGTCTGTCCGGGTCCCACACTGGTAGAGTTTGTTCACACTTCTCTGGAATAGGAAAATCTCTGAGCATGTGGGCGGAGCAAAAGATGTGCGGAAAAGTCCGTGGTGTCTCCCTTAAACGGCAGCCGTGCAGCTCAAGGTTGCCTCTCTCTCTCTCTCTCTCTCTCTCTCTCTGTGTGTGTGTGTGTGTGTGTGCTCCTCACAGCAGTGAGACGGAGAGACAGAGAGCTGCAGCTTCAGTCAGAGGTGACATTTTTTCCCAGTTTCCAGAATGATAATGACTCGTGCATTGATTCGAGCAGACTGCCTTGGCATGAGGGCTGCAAACCCGACGGATTGAGCAAGGAAAATACAAGACTGCCTTGATGTGAACACTTTAAAAGCTTCCCAGTGAAAGCTTCCCAGTCTAGTCCATGCTGGCCCAGATGTGAAACGGCCAAAAAACTCACAAAATAATTTGTCTCCTCGTCTTCTCATGTCAAGCAAAAATAAACAATTATTAATAAAACAAATTTATTTAAATAATTTTCTGTACCAGAGTAATTCATTGTAGTAATTGTCTTTGAATGTTGATTTAAATAGTTGATCATATGTGTAATGGGAGTTCAATGATTTGGTTATATGCCATTATGACATTAGGTACCTATTCTATTCTATTCTATTCTATTCTATTCTATTCTATTCTATTCTATTCTATTCTATTCTATATACAATACATTTAGCATTGGCAAAAGTTAGATGAAATAGGGGAATGGGAGGGAGAACAGTGGCAGTCACTGGAGTCAAACGACCACCCCATAACCAGAGGGTTGCAGGTTCAAGCCCCACTCAATGTGTCACAGTTGTGTCCTTGGGCAAGACACTTAACCCTCCTTACCTGATTGTGTGGCAGCTTAGCCTCTGTCAGTGGGCCCTAGGAGAGCTGTGGCCACCATGTAGCCCATCGGTGTGTGAATGTGTGTGTACATGGGTAAATGACTGTTGTGTGGACTCTAGAAGTCGTATAAATAAAGGACATTTACCAGATAAAGAGACATCAGGCCTTCTTTGGACTTGAGATCTCTCAAAACAGCTAATCTTTTAAAAATGTTATAAAAAATCTGATCCAATGTGAAAAATAAAAGTTATAATGAGGATTTTAAAATCTGATCCCTTTCAGACATTGTACTGGTCCCATCAAGTGTCTGCCATTTCTTTTATGCCAGTGGATTCAGACCATTTCAATCAATCAATCAAAGCTACTTTAGTAATTGCAGAGGGAAATTAGTAATTCTCTTATCCAACAGGACAGCGTTTCCCAGGACTAGTGGGGTTAATCATGCAAAAACAAACCAAAAATAACAGAAAATGAAAGCATTACACAAAATTTACAAATGTACATATTTAGCACTTTATTTATATTATTGTCACATAATATATTATTAACAATTTTTATACATTTTCATAATAGAGAAAACAAGTAAACAATAAAAGTCAAAGGTAATTTAAAAGATGATTTTATACTCTCTGTGTGTCCAGGTACTACTTAGATCCATGACCCGGGGGTTTGGGACTTCGACTCTACCCTATTGAGTTAGATGTTTGCCATCTTGATCTGTTTGGAATCAAAGTTAGACAAGAACACAGAGCAGTAAAGCAACCATCAATACAGAAATGAATCGGACAAATTACAAATCAACAATTGTTTTTACTTGGTGGCTTTGTTAGAGATATTAAATAAATAATTATGAATCAAAAACTCATTAAGAGGATTTTAACTTTATGACCTTAAAAGTCTGCCATCTGTACTTTTAGTTGGCAGAAATGAGCTTCTACACATTTTTAACCAGGCTCTCTGACTACCTACAGCCACACTCGGCCACCTGCATCTCTTCATACAGGTATCTTATAGTGAGGCGTCCATTTTCCTGATACATGACTGTGATTGGGTCTAGTTTGATGGGGACGCAGCACGCCATGTTGGCCTTCTTGGGGTCTCTGAGGTTCATCAGAGCCTGGATGAGGGCATGCTTTGATGGAGTAGATTCATCGGTCAGTGGGTGGTAGCAAAGTCCTCGACACTCATAGGCATCGTACTCCGGAGGGGCCACAATCCAGCTGTCCCAGCCAATGTCTTTAAAGTTGACTTTGAGTGAGGTTCGGCGGCAGTATTCCATGGTTGCCTTCCTCTTTACCCTTCGTGATTGAGGACCTTCAGGAATATCGTTTGAATGTTGATTTTCTCTGCTCCAGCTGGCCTCTATGTGAAGGAGGGTTTCCTCCTCATGAAAGATCATCTCTTTAAGCTCCTTCTTTGTCTCCCTCCTCCTGCTACCAGCGTCATCAGAGAAGACTATTAAAGCAGCTGAGGCATTATCTCCAGCAGATCTGCTCATTTGTAAACAGCTGTGAGTCTCATTTACTTTATCAGAGGAGCTGCAGTCCATCGTATCCACCACTACATCAAAAACAGAAACACCCTGGCCTGACTTCATCCAGCTCTGGACTGCTGTGGTCACATCAAAGGATGACCAGGTGCTCTGCGGCACCAACAACTCCTTGCCATCCAGCAGATGTGTTAAATTGTTGCTACTGGCTCCATAGACTTTAACAGTGGCTTTGAAACTCTGGGAGGTGACCTTTGACCTGACATCAGGGAAGAAGAGGAGCTGGAGTTCAGCTGTGATAATTTTCTCATGGTTGGGAATGCTGACGTTGAACTCCAGCTGGTGTTTTGACCTTGTGCCATTAGACACAGATAGAATATCTGTTGAAGACAAAACAAAAAGATGAAATTCAGTTTGTGAAACGTGTGTTGTCGTTATCACAGCTGAAATGTTCTTGTTTGCAAATTATTTAGAGATATATATATAGATAGATAGATAGATAGATAGATAGATAGATAGATAGATAGATAGATAGATAGATAGATAGATGATAGATAGATAGATAGATAGATAGATAGATAGATAGATAGATAGATAGATAGATGATAGATGATAGATAGATAGATAGATAGATAGATAGATAGATAGATAGATAGATAGATAGATAGATAGATAGATAGATAGATAGATAGATAGATAGATAGATAGATAGATAGATGATAGATAATAGATAGATAGATAGATAGATAGATAGATAGATAGATAGATAGATAGATAGATAGATAGATAGATAGATAGATAGATTGATAGATAGATTGATAGATAGATAGATTGATAGATAGATAGATAGATAGATAGATAGATAGATAGATAGATAGATAGATAGATAGATAGATAGATAGATAGATAGATAGATGATAGATAGATAGATAGATAGATAGATAGATAGATAGATAGATAGATAGATAGATAGATAGATAGATAGATAGATAGATAGATAGATAGATAGATAGATAGATAGATGATAGATAGATAGATAGATAGATAGATAGATAGATGATAGATAGATAGATAGATAGATAGATAGATAGATAGATAGATAGATAGATAGATAGATAGATAGATAGAGAGAGAGAGAGAGAGAGAGAGAGAGAGAGAGAGAGAGACTATTTTCTCAGAAGTATCTGCAGCTCTTAAAGGGTGAAGAACAACGTCACTTCCCAAATGAAACATTTGTATGACACATTTTTCATCAGTTTTGTGCCTTTCTCGCCATCTAGTGGTGCGGTGGAGGTGTTTCAGCATTTTATTAAAATGAATTGGATGAAAATATTTATGTAAATGGAGAAAATATGTGGTCCTGTGGAGTAAAGTAGGCAGACCTAAGAATGCTCCTAAACACTAAAACCTCCAAGTGCCAAACCCTGTTCTAGAAAGCCTCATAAACTGACACCATCTGAATGTTAGAAAAATGTCTCATAAACCACAAGATGGATTTTATTAAAGGTCTCAGAAAGGTTTTGCTGGGTGTACAGTCTCTCATTAACTGTGGGCATCAACCCAATTCAAGATGGCCACCATGGCTGATTAACTAACAAACCAGTTAGTAATCAAAGATGCCTTTACATGTAAAAATGACAGGTACAAACAACAATGTAATGGTTAAGAGACATTTATAACACAGTGAGAATGAACATCTGATTGATTGAAGAGCATCTCGCTCTCACGGTATCTGCCGGAAAAAAACTCTGACCCTCAAACACACACTCACACACACACACACACACACACACACACACACACACACACACACACACACACACACACACACACACACACACACACACACACACACACACACACACACACACACACACACTGTAACAATTCATTATACATACAATAAGTACATCACTGTTTTAATTCCTTCTTGTCACAAGGGAAGCACACATTTATTTAATCCTCCAATGTAAATTATATTTTGCCTTTTATTGACAGCTTTTATGACTTAATGTACAAAAATATGTAAATAAATATATATTTTCTACAGAAGGAGTCAAATTATCTTGTGATGTTATCTGCTCAGGACAAGCCAGGATACCTAGGCTCAAGAAATAAGTTATATTACAATCCATCATATTTATTAAAATACACAAATTACACCATCACTTTCCTTCAAACCTATCAAAAACATTTTTCTTTACGTACCCTGGACCATGAAGCTTCGTATGACATCAAACTGAGGGACCACCGATCTGTTCGAGGCGTATTTGTTGTACAGCTCAACCATGAACTGGGGGGGTGAGATCCTACTGCACTCCTGTGGAACATCTGACAGGTTGAGCTGCCTCAGAAAACCTTCCTTCATTGTCCCCAAGATGCTTTCCATTCTGGACTCAGCGTCCTCTTCCTCCAGAAGGTCCTCAGACAACTGTTGGTAGAATTTCTCCAGTTCCTTTTTCTGAACGTGGTTACTGAAAGGCTTACAGGTGCAGGAGTCACCACAAACCACCAGAGTCAAACACAGCTGGAACCAGACAGCTGATGAAGTCTTCATTTTGAGACGTCACAAAGCACCGAGTTAAGTTTACCTCCTGAAAACTGAATTTTTGGTGGTAAGATTTAAAAATGAAGATCCTAAGTGTACGAATCACAGCCCTGATGTCCGCTCCCATGCTCCAAGAGTAAACAGGGAGACTTGTGTCAACCAAAATAGTAGCTCGGTCATGCTTATCGCTGTCGTTGAAGCCTTTTTTAAGGCTTTGTTATCATTAGAAGACGGGTTGCTAATGAAGACACTGTAAACACTTGACAGCGATAATGAGGGAGACCCTGGAGAAAGTGGGGCATCTCACAAAAGTGTTTCCACATTCCCAGTTTAAGGGGGAAACTGAGGCCTCAAAGGCTCATTGACAAGATAGGATATTGGCTAGGAGATCCAACAGCATTTAGATAAAGCTCACTAACTAATAATAAATAAGGAAATCTGAGGGCAGGAACTTTAGCACTGAGGTGAAGAGCAACATGGAGCGTGTTACTGAACAGCTTTGTGGAGTTAAACATCATCAGACACTGAAACCAAAACAGTAATCAGCCTTTCAGATTTGTCCATCAGGACAAATGTGTGTGTGTGTGTGTGTGTGTGTGTGTGTGTGTGTGTGTTGTTGCAGTTTGGTCTAAAGTTTCAAGAAATTGACTCAGAAAACTGGTGTTCTAATGAAGACATGTGAGGTCCCGGATAGATGATTAGTTAGCTGGACTGTACCTTGCATTCCTTTAGCTAATATGTTCCCAGGATTCCAGCCAATCCCAGAATTTAATTTCCCACTCATACAGCCAGGTACCTGCTGGGGTTCATAAAATGTGGGTCTTTCAGGCTCTTGTGGGGTTAGTCAGTGATGAAAGGAAACAAAAACAGCAAATAGTTGAGGTAAACATTAAAAAAACAAAGAGAAATGAGGAGAGAAAGCTGCAGAGAAACTCTGGTCACTGTTTCACTTGGCCTGTGTGGCAGCTTTTCTAGGAATTTCGAGCCAAAAGTTTCACACCCGGATATAAAATGTTATCAAATCAGCACTTAATTTAGGAAATCTATTTATTTATTTTTGTCTAAAGATGTGGTTAACTTGTTTAATCAATCAATTGGCAGTGGTCTCTTGTATGAATGCCTTGTAAGTCATACTCTGGGGAAAAAAGCACTGGTGTGCCTGTTTCAGGAAATCACAGTGAGCCACATCAGAGGAGGAAGTAGCTCCAGATGACAGGATTTGGAGTCTTATTTCAAGCACGTTGAATTGCCTCTGTGTATGAAAATTGCTATGTAAATAAAGCTGCCTTGTCTTATTTTCAACATCTTGCCACTGATTGGATAACAGCACTCAGACTTTACCACCCGACTCTTTACTCTGCAACGTTGATGTTTTATCTCCACAAATAGCACAAGCTGGAAGGCTGTTGTGTGGTAGAGTTGCTAATGCTAACGGTTAGCTTCTACTAGCTGAGAGGTTTGTTGCTGTTCCTGCACGCTAAACCAACAACAGCCTTTCCCGTCGAGCGTAAGGATGGGTGAGTCCAGGAATGTTAGGTGACAGTGTGACGTAGATCTGTCAGGCTTTTCTAATCCTAGAGTTTCACTTTATATCAGAAGCTAATGCAGGAGATAGGTGTAGGAGGCTATTTTCATGTTCAGCCTGCATGAAAAACTCTGATTGACCGACTCTAATCAGGAATAATTATGACAATGTATTATTTTCAGTTAACCACACCTTTAACACAGTGCTTGAAGTGGAAAAAAAGTGCCGGTACTCCCCTTAGGAAAATGTTGCTGGTGTGTGTGTGTGTAAGGTGGAAACTTTACTACTTTGTGTAGATAGATAGATAGATAGATAGATAGATAGATAGATAGATAGATAGATAGATAGATAGATAGATAGATAGATAGATAGATAGATAGATAGATAGATAGATAGATAGATAGATAGATAGATAGATAGATAGATAGATAGATGGCCAGCCTGTTAATTAGGCTTGTGTCAAAAATAACTTACTCAGTGTTAAAGTTTGTTCATTTAAAACATGACTTTCAGATGCAAAACGGTCAAGTATTTGTCATTTATTTCAAAAATATCATTTCAGCTTTATTATTACATTTTGTTCCCATTAAAACTTTTCAACAGCCGTGTTTATATGTACAATTCAGCTGTTCTTTCTGACCATATTGAGCAAAAACATGTCATTACAGCTTATGTTCACATACTCATTAGTGGATTCATTTGTGGAAGTTTTTACTTCAATTATATGGTTATTACTGTACACATCACTAATTATACATGTCTGTCAGAGAGCCCATGTTTATGAAGAGTAAACTCCACAGCAGCCATGTTTGCTTCATTCCACATTCTGGATTTCCTCCAAATATGACCAAATGCCCAGTAGGTGGCAGCAGTGCATTGGTTCTACCCTATGCTGTAATAGTCCTACTGCTTGGCATTCTTGAACCTTCAACATAAAATCAAATGCAAGCTTTTGAGAGAATGTATGAGCAAACTACTGCTAATGTTTTGGTTGAACTTCAAGGAACAAAGACAATGGTGATGATTGGAGCATCGCTTGGTTGGTGTCACACTAAAACTTGACGAAAAGTCAACAAAGCGTGTCTACCAGGGTGGATACCATCAGCTTGACCAACCTTGAGATCTGGAAATGACAGAAAATAGAAAAAAAATGTCGAAATCCAGTTCAAACAACTAATTTGACGAACCATTTGATCCTTTCCTGAGGAGTCTGAGCGGATTCATTAAGCAGGTCCGTGTACATTTTGACCAAGGAAAACCGTTATTACCCTTCTCAGATGAAATGCGTAATAATCCTTTTTAAGCATTGTTTAATAAAAAAATTAAGACAAAAGCGTTTCATGCCTGTTTGCCTGAAGACTACTGGAGGCAGGCACCAGCCCCCCATGAGCCTGCATGGACAAGCAGGTATAGAAAACGGATGGATGGCTTTTCGTATCAATCTAAGGTGTGTGATCTCCCAGCTGGAGTTCTGTTTTGAATCTTCAACGTCCAGCCGGTCAACACAAAGAACTGCAAACACACGTTTGCTTAGGTGAACGTCCTGAGACTCTTTGAAAGAAGGCAGAAAATGAGTGAAAACAGATCGGATAATACAAGTCGACTATACAATCTGTTAGAAAAGCTTAAGGCAACCGGACATGTCATAAACGAAAACAAGTCAAAAGTTCAGAATAAACCTGTTCAGACTTTCTCAGTCGGTTCTCAGTGTGTCTCGCCACACCTCTTCCTCCCCTGACATGTGCCTCCATGCTGCTTCATGCTCCTCCTGAGTCTACATAACTGGTCATCCTCATTGTCTCTACTAGTCCGTTTCCGGCGGCTTGCACAGCCCTACCGACAAGCGCATGAGTCAACAGACATTCCAGGGTAGACCTTCAGCATCAGGTTCCTGTCTGGATCCAGAAAGAGAACACTGAGGGGGCTCATCTTGTCAGGAACACAGCACGGTTCTGGGACACCAGGGACGATACCAACAGCTCTGACGATGCTCTGGATGGTGGCGTGATTGGAGGGTTGCGCCACCTGAAGGAGTGGAGAGAAAGCGATTTTTAGCACAAATATCAATATCTAGCTTTTATATGTTCAAAAATAATTAAAAATATTAAAATATACTATAATATGGAAGGCTCACTTTGGGAATGGGGAATCCACAGGTTCCGGAGCAGTAGTATGCCTCAAAAGACTTTGGTGCCAACACCCATTCGCTCCAGCCAATGTCTGCAAAGTCCACCCTGAGGTAGCGTCTAGAGCAAACCCTGGGTTCGCTCCACTGTCTCCTTCGGGCCTTTTTCATTGTCCTCTCGTCAAAGCTCAGAACTTTGGGCTTACTCGTGCCCTCGCCACTCAGCTGGCCACGTGTCCTCCCGGTTTTCACTGCAGCTTTAGTTTTATCTGGGAAGTATGTGTTCTGCCACAGTTCATGGTTTTTCAGGGTGCTGAAGTGAATCTCTGGGATGTCATTGGTTTGGATCTGGAGGTGGAGTTCCCTCCGGATCCTTGAAGATGCAGAAGAGGTAGAAATGTCCTCCCCAACAGGGAATGGTCCGTACCTCTGGAGTGACATGGCGACACTGTTTGGCTCGTCTATAGCTTGATCATCAGCGTATACCAAGATGTACGGCAGGCTTTCTGCAGAGAGGCGTTCTTTGCTGAGAAGGCCCTTTTGCTGCACCTGTGAAGCTTCAAACCCTGGATCAAACTCCGCCATGATCACAAGCTGTTTCCCAGTCCTGGCCTGTTTAACCACTGATGTTACATCCCTGGTTTGCCAAGAACTTTTCTTGAAATGTGCAAGGGTTATGTTTCCAAAAGCAGAGTTTGTGGAGGATCCATAGAAAATAATCTGTGAGGTATGCCGGAGACCACTGGCGAGGTGGTGAGGTCTTCGGAAACGCCACTGTCTCTGGTGGTGGCGGGGCCGTTTGTAGAGAAAGTGGAAAGAGGCAGAGAGCACAATCTCAGAGCTTTGGATGGAGGACAGGTTGAACTGAAAAAGCTCTTTTCCGTGTAAGACTCCTGAAAGGAATCACAGGATACATCAAAATAAACAAAAACATGTACGTGTGGAATTCCTGGATGAAAACAGACACCATCTTCTCTTTGGTGTTTTCCTGAATGTCACTTAAAACACCTACCTGTTGTCACTTTCCACGCATATTTTGTTGAGCAGTTGCTAAAATGCAAGAATGACCATCAGGTTTGAATGAAATCAAAAACTGCATCCCAAAGATGTCAGGCACAATCTGTTGCTCAACACATTTGATCACAGCAGCATGGAAAACATTAGGCGCTGCACGGTTAAGTGCCCGGCTCATGCATGACTTAAAAACCTCATCCCTGATAGCTATACTCTTGAAGTTCAGCCTCGTCTCCTGCACTTCCACCACAGCCTGAAAGACAAACACCGGGCCGGTCTAGAAGGTCTCCTTCTCTCTCTGTCAGGCATATGGAAGTACTTAATGGAGAACGAGCTCCTCTGATGCGTTTTCTGCAGTGCAGCCGGTGTCTGGCTGTGATAATAGGCGCTTGTCTTTGTCTAACACCTAGGCTGTTACAGCTACTGGGGAGCTAACAGTGTTGGACTCTTTAGCTTTTATAATCACAACACTGACAGAGAGCACCGAGGTGAAGATGTTCAGCCCAAAGGGAAGCACCGTCTGTCTTGTGGCTGACGCTACACCTGCACTCAAAAATACAGAGCTGGCTTTATGTTCAGCATTATTCCCACTGTAAGAGTTAGATCTGAAACTACAGTATTTACAAGGTGGGGATTCAAATAAAACATAAAAAGTAAGATATTGTAAGCCATATTCTGCATTTTAAGAGTTAGATTAATCACATTTAGCATTTTAACAGCAACAGTTAGCCACATTCAGCAATTCGCTCCACTGTGGATCTAGGTTCTCTCTGTGTATTTATTAATGAGCCATACACACAAACTCACACAATCATATTTAACATGTTAACAGTATCCTTTTATGCTGTATTTGCATGTTAGAAGCTACGTTTGGTCACATTTTGCTTCTTGTGACAATCAAAATGGGGTGTGACATTTTTAAAGTATCCTCTTTACACCATTTATTCAGGAATTTTTTATGTCATGCCTAAAAAACATAATTAAAAAAAAGTCTAAATTAATATTTACTACCAAATATGGATGGGATGGAAGGATCGGGGTTTTCTCTGTATATTAATACATGATCTGCAGTAAAACCAACTCACACAAGCTAACCGTCAAAGACACTATGGGATGTAAGGTAGGAGATCCTTTTATCTCACACTTTGTCCTGAATCAGACCGCTTTACCTGTTATCTAAATATTTAAATGAAAACACCACGTTTTTATTTGTTTAAATCTGAATTCATATTTAGTTTAGCTTGTACATGTCATTCTTAAGGTGGGGGTTTTAAATATTTTAATACTACATACTTAATGCTTAAATAGCTGCTAAATTTTAAATATCATTTGGTGCATCTCGCACAAAAAACAAACATGAAGCACCGGAAGAATGGTCCACTTTTGCTGAAAAGATTCAAATCATGAATGAATGTTTGCAACTTTTCAGATCTGAAGTTTAAACATGCAGATGCATCATTTTATCTGTTCATTCCTGAACTGAATCAATAAAATGTTCGACTTGCTCATCGTGTCATCCCAGCACATCTGGTTACTAACAAATGAGGCTGCTGACTGGACGCAGTGGTTCCAGTCAGTCCAGTAGAATATGAACTCACTCGGGACAGCTTTGAAGCTCCTCACGGTGTTTCCCTGCATCCGGCTCTGCGGTTCTTTACTGTACCTCTCATATACTTTAAACATGTTGACGGAGACCACGTCCCGGCTCGCGCTCTCGTGCGCAAGGACGCGCTGATCCACAGCCGGCTGCGCCTCAGCACCACCTTGACGCACGGCTCCGACGTCGTAACCTTCAGGTGCGAGGCGAGCCCAGCCGCACTGAAGCAACAACAGCAGACATAGGATGTGATGAAGCAGGCCCGGCATGGTTGGTGACCTGGAGTTGAAGTCCAGCCAAAAGGAAACAGGAGAAACTAAAAAATACAACTAACAAAACAAACGAGACGCTTCCTGTACTGCACGTTGGTGCTTCCAAAAGACTGGGTCTAGGTCGGTCCACAGCAGCTTCTACAATGGGAGGAGAGTCCGATCAGACTGCTGGATGACTGATGGTGACGCTTCAGAGCGCACAGCCAACGGGAGGCAGGCGGTTACTCTAAGCATCGACCTGCTGCGGAGTCTGGAGCTTCTCGGCACAGGAACATTTATTCAACTTATGTGGCTCCAACATTTAGATCATGTCTCCAACAAGTTCTAAAACTGTTTCAAACTTCACAATACATCACATAAATATAAAATATAAATATGAAAAAAGCATAAATTGAGCTAATTTAGGTGGTTTATTTTCCTTAAATATTGTGGCACTTTAATTATAAGTATCTGAGGTGACAATGTGGATTGATGCTGCATCGTGCTGCGTTGGTGCTTGGCTTCTCTCGCTTTCTGCATGTGTATTTACCTGTACTTTGTGATAATTAGTTTTCATTTTACTTTTATCTAAGAGCACCAGGCTAAAGCCTAAAGTTGACAGATCATTTGCTGCTGTGGCCCCAGACTCTGGAGCTCTCTCCCTCTGAGCCTGAGATCAGTGGACTCAGTGAACTCCTTTAAAAAACAGCTGAAGACTCACTTGTTCAAGCTGGTTTTGGTGTGACCTTCATCACCACCCTCCACTTCTTCCGCCTTTGCCCGCGATCCACTGATTTCCTTCTTTCCTATTCATTTTCTCTCTCCCTTTCCTTACAATATTATTTTTGAATCACAAATTATCTTATTTTTTCTTATTTTAAACATATTTTTAATCATTTTTTGCACTATTTTTCATACTTAAATAAAAAAAATTGTGAAGGGCCTCATGATTTTTATCTTGAAATGCACATTCTATTCTATTCTATTCTATTCTATTCTATTCTATTCTATTCTATTCTATTCATTTATCCAACCAGATACGTTGATTGAGAACTCTCTCATTTAAAACAACGATCTGGCCAAGAGACGGCAGCAACAGACACATAGTTAGCTTTACATCAAAGAAAAACTGGTAAGATAAAAATATATACAAGACAAAAATAAGATAAAGCAATTAGACATAAAGACAAAGGACTGTTCTCATATATAATATGTACAAGCAATCAAAACAAACCTAAAACAAATTTTAAGTACTCAGAAGCACATTCATCTGAAACTACTGATTGCAATGACTTATTGAAGGTAGATAATGGAATGTAGGTAGTGAGCTTCAGTGATTTTTGCAGCTCATTCCAGTCGTTGGAAGCAGCAAACTGGAATGACGAGCGGCTAAAAGAGGTGCAAGCTTTGGGAATTACCATAGAGATTAAGTTACTGGAATGTAAATTGTGTTGGTTGTTGGAAGTGATGAGTAATGGGTGGAGATATGTTCTACCAATAATTGTTTTGTATTCAAACCGATACCAATTTAACATCCTGTGGGAATGGAGTGATGGCCAGTTAATGAGTGAGTACATATCGTAATGATGAGTAGTGAAAGGGACACCAATAACCAAGCGGATTGCCGAGTGATGAATGACTTGAAGTTTATGAAGAAGTCTTTTGGAAGCAGTCCTATAAATGTCACCGTAATCTAAGATGGGAAGGATTGTCATTTTGACCAAGGTTGCTTTGCAGAAGGAGTAAAGGATGACCTGCTGGGGTAAAGAAACCCAGTTCTTGACATGACTTTAGAAAGTAATTAATTAATATTGATTTTCTAATGAACGTGTGATGTCAAGCCCGATACCCAGATACTTATAGGCACTGACAAGTTGTAGTTCTGTACCATCCAGGGAAACAATACTAGGGTAAAAAGTTGATTGCGGTAAGTTACGGTTGAAGATCATGAACTTTGTTTTACTTGTGTTTGAAGATGAAGGTTGGAGAAGGTGTGTTGAAGACAATTAAAGTTGTGCTGCAAGGAGGACAAAGCTGCTGCAAGGAGGACAAAGTTGCATTCAAGGAAGAACTGCATGCATATAAAATGGTTTCATCCGCATATAAATGTATACGAGAACTGTCAACAGTATGAACAATGTTATTAATGTAGATTTTGAATAAGGTTGGGCCTAGTATTGACCCTTGAGGAATGCCCATAGATAGAGGTAGATGAGCAGATTGGTCTACAGAGTCAACAAACTCAGCCACTCTATAATACTTATTCTCAAGGGCACATATGATGTCATTTAGCACTTTAAGTGTTGCAGAGACACATCCATGACCAGCTCTAAAGACGGAGTGTATGGGGTAATAATACTGCTGGATTCAAAGATAGTGAGTTAGTGGTTTGTTGACTAACTTTTCAATGAGAAAACTTTTCAAAGAGATAGGCATAACAGCTTAGGTCCAAATGATCTCCCCCTTTAAAAGTGGAGTAGCAGGTGCAAATTTCCATTCCTGCAGAAATGCACCAGTTTGTATGGACAGATTAAATAGATGGGTAATAGGTACAGCAACAACACGTGCTGCTATTTTCAGAAAGAAAGGGTCAAGAGTATCCAGTCTGGCTGATTTATGAGGATCTAACCAGAGTAAATCATCAAGTACCTCATTTATATGAAACAGTTTAATGGAGAAACAGGAACTGGTTGTGGAGAGGGAATCATTGCATATATTCTATTCTATTCTATTCGAATGTGCAAAACTTCTGTTTTTGTTCAACCAACCACATTTAGTGTTAATATGTTGTTGTGTATGTGCTGCAATTCATTAGATTGCAAAGGAGCTCTGGGTTGTGGTGAAAGGACCCAAAAGCAGGTTAACTGGAGGTGTTTTCAAGAACAAGCTGGATTCTTTAATTATTTAACCAAAGCAAACAGTCGCCATGGCAACATGAACAGTGTCTGACAATGGTTGGAGGGAAACAAGAGGTAGAAACACAGGAAAACGGATTAGATCATTCAACACCTGGTCTAATCTCTAAAAAACAGTCATGCGGTGAGAGAGTATTGTGGCATACTCAGCTTTGTTTGATAAAAATCAGCAGTGTCGAGAGCTTCCTTTTGATGGCAAGTAAAGCTTCTTCTTAAATGCTGTTTTATCTTATTGATCTCTGATTTGTGAGATAATGTGAGACACACAACATCTCAAGCAGGATTTATAAACACCAGCTGGGGAGTTTAAAAGAGCTGACAATGTTTATTAGTTCCATTCAAACTGTTTCCTCTGAAACCCTCAGCTGTGAATATTGTGGCATTTTGACACACTTTAACTCTATGACTAGTAATGATGCTGATAACTCATGACTTGGTACAATCGAATAGATAGCCTCTTGCTGAGTATATACATATATATATATGTATATAAACCAAAGCAGCTAACTTCTGGTTACTGGTTTGGCAGAGGTTTCCCGTGAGACAAGGGTCTTCTGCCTTCCTGGGTCACACAGCCATTAAAATAGCTCAGGTCTAAAGGGGATCACAAGGTGCTCTTTGACACCACTGTGTCCTACATCAGAGATAAAAGACAGTGTTGGGACCAGGATCCTCTTCAAGGCAAAAAGAGTGTCTTGTTCGGAGTCCAGATAGCATCAGTCTCCTCCCAAGGAGTGATCAGGACCTGTTATCACTCAGCAAGAGGCTATCTATTCGATTGTAATAGGATAAGAAAAACAAATGTTGCTCTTGTGATGTTTCTTTTGATGATTTTCTGCATTTGTTTGCGGTTTCGAAATAAACTGACAAGATTTAAGAGGCTTTATCAAGTCAGAAGGACCGTCACTTCCCCAGAACAAAACCAAAGCATTATTCACTGAATCAGACACTGTAAGACCCACAATTGTTGGAATAAAAAGGGCTTTCTGCCAGAAATTAGGCTAAACGTTGCCAAGGCTGGATTACCAGTCAGCCTCTGAGGATTTGGTGCCCTGAAAGTAGCTTGATGTTATAAAAGTGTAAAGGAAAATTCTGAAGGATGAGGTCAGTGAAGATGAATGTGAGTTGATATCAGAGACTCAGATCCTGTCTACGACCAACTGCTGGGATGTGGTTATTTAAACAAATAATCACTGATCTTTACCTGGTGGTTTTAGGTGCTTAAATTGAAGGATGTCAGTGAACAGCCCTATGGTTCAGGCCTAATAACGGTGGATGGACCTGAGAGTTATTTATGATACTTCACTAAGGAGTGAGAATTTTGTGGAAGGTTGAATATTTTATTCATTCATACAACCAACAAACTTTAATTTTCTTTAAATGTTTACCTTTTGACATTTAAAAATCAGCATTTTAAGGAAATATTTTGCCAATTCTGAACAGGGTTTATGTGTAAAAGTTTAAAATGATTACTTTTTTTACAAACTACTGAAAAAGTTCTGGCATGATGGCACTTATGGGCTAACTTCAAGCCGAACAGCATAAAACTTCATAAAGGAGGGAGGTTTGATATGTGCCATTTTTATATCTATATCTGATATAACTCTAACTCTAAATGTCCGATAATAAAATAAAACGATAAATGTGAGTCACCCACTATTTTAGGTAACATCACAAATCCTCCTGTCATGCATAAACATTCATCTTTCTGCAACTACGGTACTTCAATCCAAAGTTAGGACAAACAATAATATGTCAAAAACTTTACCTCAGATGTGTCTTATTTTGACAAGTTACTGAAGAGTTTGATGTGCATGGCATGTAACAGTTGTGTCATTAAAATATGAAAAACTTATACCGATAACTTCCAGTATTAGATAGATAGATAGATAGATAGATAGATAGATAGATAGATAGATAGATAGATAGATAGATGATAGATAGATAGATAGATAGATAGATAGATAGATAGATAGATAGATAGATAGATAGATAGATAGATAGATAGATAGATAGATATATAGATAGATGATAGATAGATAGATAGATAGATAGATAGATAGATAGATAGATAGATAGATAGATAGATAGATAGATCGATGATAGATAGATAGATCGATGATAGATAGATAGATAGATAGATAGATAGATAGATAGATAGATAGATAGATAGATAGATAGATAGATAGATAGATCGATGATAGATAGATAGATCGATGATAGATGATAGATAGATAGATAGATGATAGATAGATAGATAGATAGATAGAT